AAAAAAAAAAAAAAAAAAAAAAAAACTTGTCTTGCGAAAATGTATGCGCCAACAGAAATTTGATTTCAGATTGGGCCAATACCTGTTGATGATAGAATTGGTAAAGAGGTCACTACTGAGATTACAACTACAATCCAAAATGACAAAAGATTTTATACAGATTCTAATGGCCGGGATTTCATCGAAAGGGTATGGTGATTGAACAGAACCTTTCCATTTTAGGGTGTTTGAGCAGTTTCAATCAAGTCTAAATTGTTATGATTTGAGAGATAATTGAATAGGATGGTTGCTTTTGCAGATACGGGATTATCGGAAAGACTGGAAACTTCAAGTCAATCAACCGGTTGCGGGAAATTATTATCCAGTACGTTAAAAATGTATTACCTTTGAGTTATTCTTAGTAACGTTTTTTTTTTCTGCTTCAGTTTTATATTTCTCTTTTGGTATGTATGTAACATTCCACATCTGATCTAAACTTTTACATGAAAGACAGGACAAGTTAAATCATCAAGTGGACAATAAATTACAGCCACAAAATCTGTTTATCGAAATGGCAGTAGTTTGAGTGAATTCGAAACCTTAAATATTTGATTCCCAAGCATTGATTTCAACTCATGGTCTACCAAAACTATCAGTGCAGAGAATCGAGAGAGAAAAAATAACAAACTAATTTGTAGATAGAAGTCACATGTGTTGACTCTCTGTGCACATGTGATTCTTCTTCTTGTTATTTTTTTTCTAAAAAAACACGAGTACATTCATGTAGTTCTTATCCTTTATTCAAATGTATTGTCATCGTCTTTCTCCATGTCTTCTCTAACACTTGTGTTTCCCTAGTGTTGAGATATCACATCAGAAAGATGAACAAAACTCAGTCTTTTTATTCTTACTCATCTATTTGTCGTTAGTTTTGATATGAAACCCCATGTTTTTTTAATATTTAGTAACATCATTTCACAAATTTCTTCCACAAATCATTAAACAATTTTCCAGAGAACCATCACTAACTTCATGACATGAATTTCTTGCATACACGTGTTGCTAGATTAATCTTGGAATCTTCATGAAAGACAACACCAGAGAGCTCTCGGTTTTGGTCGACAGATCTGTTGGGGGATCCAGCATTCGGGATGGGCAACTGGAATTGATGCTTCACAGGTTTGTTTACCCTCCCACTTATGGTATTGAATAGGACATGCCAACTCAACTTTTACATAGCCGTTAGACCCTGAAAGCTATGGTTCTCCTGATGGTAGGAGGTTGCTCCATGATGATTCTCGAGGTGTTGATGAGGCTTTAAATGAAATTGTTTGTGTTCAAGATGAATGCACTGGATTAACTGTAAGAACACCAGTCAACCCTGCGGTCATTGGATTCACAGTTGCTTCCATGCTTTTCACACGCAATAATTTTCATTTTCAACATGCTTTTCAGATAGTAGGGAAGTATTATCTCCGAATAGACCCATTAGGAGAGGGTGCTAAATGGCGCCGTTCATTTGGCCAGGAGATTTATTCTCCATTGTTGTTGGGCTTCACATTGCAGGTTAGAAGTACTTGGCATTCTGAACTGTTACTGTGCTATTCACGGCTTAATTGCTGACTTCATTTATGGGCAGGATAAAAATGATTGGACAATGTCTCATCTGAAAACCTTTTCAGGAATAGATCCCTCCTATCATCTACCAGAGAATGTTGCGATTATAACCCTACAGGTTTGTATTTTCTTAACTAATCCATATTAAGCTGTTCAGTCTTATGTTTTTAATCTCAGATAAATTTAAAGACTGCATGAATAGAGATATATTTTAACGTTCGTATCACCTTCTGATAAATACAAAGCCATGATCGAAAAGATTTCGTTTCATCAAAAAGGTAGTTATCATCTGAAAAGCCTGTGGCAACTAATTTTGCGTATTGTGGTGACTTTTCTTGGATTTGCAGGAGTTGGAGAATGGAAAAGTTCTCTTACGTCTGGCACACTTGTATGAGGTAAATGAAACTCTTTATATCGGCATTTGTATTCGATACAATCCGTACTTCACCAGTCACTTGTAATATTCTAACTACATACTGTTTCTCTTTCGTGATTCAAATGCAAGATTGGAGAGGAGAAGGATCTTTCAGTCATGGCTACTGTAGAACTAAGGAAGTTGTTTCCTGAAAAGAAGGTAGAAGCATTATTATTTTGTCCGTTAAATGGAGTGATAAAAGTTGACAGGTGGTTATTCCATTATTTTTCAGACAATCAAGGTAACGGAGACAAGTTTATCTGCTAACCAAGAAAGAGCAGAAATGGAGAAGAAGAGGTTGGTGTGGAAAGTAGAAGGGAATTCTAAAGGAGAAAATGCCTTGAGAGGAGGGCCTGTGAACTCAGCAAAGTTGGTGGTAGAACTAGCTCCCATGGAAATTCGAACCTTCCTGATTGATTTTACAGACAAATAATCATGTCCAGGTAACGCCAATTTCATTCAATGAACCGGGTATAGAGAGGACGAAAAAGAGGTGGTCCAGTAGCTAGTTTCTGCCTTGCTCGAATAAGGGGAAATAAAGATGAAGACATTCAGTGTGTTTATTGGAAGTAAGCATGTTGTAAACGTTAATTAATCCGACAAGTTCTCAACGTGACAAACTATGGTTGGGACATTGAGTAGTATTGCTAACAGGCAAGTATTTTTCATAACACAACGCCTTCGTGGCTTAACTTGGGTTTTGCCACAAACACAAGCTGCAGTATGCATAGAAGCCAAAAAGAGATTAGCGAGAAGGTGAGTTGGTGCAAGTAAGAAATACATTTCCATTGGGATTGGGCATTTTGAGAAAACCAAAAGTAAAGTCACGAGAGTTTATGCTCAAAGTGAACAATATTATACCATTGTGGAGATTGTGGTATCAAAGTCATGCATAGAAGCCAAAAAGAGATTAGCGAGAAGGTGAGTTGGTGCAAGTAAGAAATACATTTCCATTGGGATTGGGCATTTTGAGAAAACCAAAAGTAAAGTCACGAGAGTTTATGCTCAAAGTGAACAATATTATACCATTGTGGAGATTGTGGTTTCTAACATGGTATCAAAGTCATGCATAGAAGCCAAAAAGAGATTAGCGAGAAGGTGAGTTGGTGCAAGTAAGAAATACATTTCCATTGGGATTGGGCATTTTGAGAAAACCAAAAGTAAAGTCACGAGAGTTTATGCTCAAAGTGAACAATATTATACCATTGTGGAGATTGTGGTATCAAAGTCATGCATAGAAGCCAAAAAGAGATTAGCGAGAAGGTGAGTTGGTGCAAGTAAGAAATACATTTCCATTGGGATTGGGCATTTTGAGAAAACCAAAAGTAAAGTCACGAGAGTTTATGCTCAAAGTGAACAATATTATACCATTGTGGAGATTGTGGTATCAAAGTCATGCATAGAAGCCAAAAAGAGATTAGCGAGAAGGTGAGTTGGTGCAAGTAAGAAATACATTTCCATTGGGATTGGGCATTTTGAGAAAACCAAAAGTAAAGTCACGAGAGTTTATGCTCAAAGTGAACAATATTATACCATTGTGGAGATTGTGGTATCAAAGTCATGCATAGAAGCCAAAAAGAGATTAGCGAGAAGGTGAGTTGGTGCAAGTAAGAAATACATTTCCATTGGGATTGGGCATTTTGAGAAAACCAAAAGTAAAGTCACGAGAGTTTATGCTCAAAGTGAACAATATTATACCATTGTGGAGATTGTGGTATCAAAGTCATGCATAGAAGCCAAAAAGAGATTAGCGAGAAGGTGAGTTGGTGCAAGTAAGAAATACATTTCCATTGGGATTGGGCATTTTGAGAAAACCAAAAGTAAAGTCACGAGAGTTTATGCTCAAAGTGAACAATATTATACCATTGTGGAGATTGTGGTTTCTAACATGGTATCAAAGTCATGCTCTTAACTTAATCATGTCAATAGAATTCTCAATTGTCGAACAAAGAAATTGTGAGTTTTGAAGGTGTAATATAAAGTGACTGAAGCGTCAAACAAAAGGTATACTTTGTTTACCCTTTGTTCGAGGGCTCCAGAGAAAGAGTCGAGTCTCGATTAAGGGGAGGCTGTTTGGGGGCTCCATAGGTCTTAGGGAAGACTCTATGGTGTGCTTTGTTCGAGAGAGTATTGTTGAAGATTTTTTGGAAGAGGATAGACCTTAGGGGAGGCTTTATGATGTACTTTGTTCGAGGGGAGGATTGTTGATGATTTTTTGGGAGAAGAACCTCACATGGGCAATTAAAGGGTTGATTATGGGTTTATAAGTAAGAAATACATTTTCATTTTGGAAACCAAAAGTAAAACCACAATAAAAAGTAAACTATATTAGTAGAAAGAGGAGGGCAGACGAGAACCCCTCAGCGCTGCGAGCCAGGCTAGGACCTCTCACAGCTCGCTGTCCCTTCTGCCACGCAGCCATGCCAATTCCCAATCTCATTCTCGCCCCTGCCTCTGCAAAATTTATCAAACCCATCTTTCATTTTAAATTTTTGAATATCTTAATATTCAAAGCAGTTGAGATTACAAATATTAGAGATGGTGTTGTTTAGCCCACCTCAAGCATACTTCAGTTCTTTAGTTGTTTAGTAGAGTTGATCTCCACTCACACATGGATGAACTAAGATGAACTAATTAAATAAGTAACTAAAATTACGTGTGTACTTACAACTATTATTCATAATCTCAGAAAATTTTGACCATTCTAAAAATATTTGAATTAATTTTTGTTCGAAAAATGGTCTAATAACGTTATTTAAATTTTCTGGAACACACGCAAACTAATTCCATTCGCGCGCTTTGATGTCGGGGGAATCAGGGAATCGATGTACCAATGAAGCCCACTGCCCACGTTTTATGTTCATCGCTTCCCAGGAAACAAACAATTGGGAGAATACGACGCCAGTTTACTGGCCCTCAACATAGTCGAAATCCTTCATTTTAGAGTTAAGTAGGAAGATTTCGATAGCCTTGGATTGAATTGGCGGTGGTCTGCGTTTACTTCGGAGCTAGAAGTTTGTGAAGGTACATCGGCCATCTTGATGACAAAGACCGAAGAGTTGGTGGAGAGGAAGATCACCCAAAGAAGGGACGGTTCGTTCTGGATGTCTCCAGATCGAAAGCCTACGTTGCATGGGTATCAGAGTTGCTTTGATTGATCCATTCCTTATATGGTTCTTTTTTCCTTTCTTTTTGTAGAGCCTCCGGAAACCATAATGAGAATTTTGTACATTGAGATTCTCCAATTTCCTCTCATCATTTTGGAATTGGAGTATATACTGGTCAGGGCGTTCGTTGCCGAGTATGCTGCCTGATGTAAAATAAGTTGGTAGGCTTCAGGTTCGTGCAGCTGCTGCGCACTTCTTTGTTTTTAAATTAACTCTTCAGCTGTTCTTGGTCTGAAAACCTGAAACTAGAAGCGAGTAATATTTAGATCTTTTAATGTAATAGGAAGCTCTGTCAATCAGACGTGATACGAGAGTTATAGGCTTGGGGAATTGTACAAAGACTTGATAAAGATGAACTTACATCTTGCTTTATTGTCTTGGGGAACTGTAAATTCCTGGAATCAAATTATAGTCCCACGTTTGGCAAATGGTGAGCGTTGAGACAGGAAGTTCAACCACATTTCGGTTGGTTTTATATGGAGTAACATTTTTCGTTCTTCTTACTTGCCATGAAATTTTTAGATACTTTTATGAACATTTTTTGTTGGCGGTATGACCAGTCAGGATATCAAGAGTGGAAAATGAAAGTCCTCCCTCAGTTTGAGGAGAAGCGAGGATGCAAGGTTATGAGGAGCGGAGGAGTTGTACGAAGATACCATTTGAATACAAATCTTGCCTGTTCATCCAAATGCAAGATTAAAAGTTAGAAATCCTCTAGACATGGTAAGGCAGCTCTATGACTTTCATAATTTGCAAATTAATATGAAACCCTCTACCTTTGGCTTCTCCATTATTGGTTAACAGTACAGCATATGCTTCCTTGTTCTGTTGCTTTTGGTTGTTTATTCGTTTTACCCTTTTTCTTCTCTAAAGATTTCCTCCACTTGGTTCTTGCGATTTGAATTGTTTCGTTTTCGGTTCATATATCTTAAATAACCTTAGTGCTGTGGAAATATTGAGGAAAGGACTTGGTAATCCAGAGAGACGGAGATAATGGAAATTTATTTTGTTTAGGGTTTAGGGTCTATCCGAAAGGAAAATATGAAGCGGCAGGGTTTAGGGTTTAACTAGTGGGCCAATCCGAAAGCAAAATATGATCCCCGAACTCAAAAGTCTGTTAGCTATGCAAAACTGTGAAGCCTGTATTTCCAGCGAGATAACTGTTTATTACTTCTGCGGAGGGTTCGCGAGATGATTGGTCAGATGCGTTGATCCTTTGTGTTATTTTGTTGTTATGGATATCATGACTAGTAGTATTATAAGAGAAGCAATGTTGACATTCAATGTGGAGGATGTAAGCGGCAGGGTTGATGTGTGTTGGATGATGATGGTGTAAATGCAAGTTGGTGGTAGGAAGGCAGGAGTGTATAGCGTTATCACAAGGGGCCATAAGCGTATCAAACATGAAACTCTCTTCTCTTCTGGATATTGATCTTCTCTTTGTTGTGATGCGACTGATCGATCTTGTGGACTGTCACACTGTTAAATGTTACGTAAGTTAGGTAGTTTGTTATTAAGTTATAATAATTACCTAGCAGGAGCAGGAACAGGAACAGGTGAAGGTGTGGCTAATGCCACTAATATAGATGATGTTTAAGTGCATGCAGGTAGGCAAATAAATTTGGCGCTAAGTAGTGGGCTTAGGGTTTAGGAAGGGAAAGGCAAGCAAGTAGAAGTTGTAGGAATGTGTTTCCCATGTGCATGAGTAAGGTGTGCGACATATATATTAAAGAAGAGACTGTTGGTATGGTGTCAGAAAGTCCATTGGCCATGCTGAAGCCTGAAACTGGGGAGGGGTCCATGTCATGCTATCATAATTATGTTTTGATATTTATGGTTGAAAGAGTGACCCACCAGCTTATTACGGTTCGGGCCGCATGATAATGATATTTGTCATCACTCCACATCCCAGGGAGTCCACCAGTTTTACACTGCAAATCTTTTGCTGTAAATAATAATAGTTGTGTTAGGACAGTGAGCTGAGATGAACATGTTATGTGAGGGGAAAGGGAAGGGGAATTAAAGCTCTAATTAACTGTTAATGCATTGTGCGTGTCGCAGATTTCACGATTAAGATGGTTGAGGCCCTTTTTTCCCATCTTCCATAAAAGATTATAGCATTATTAATGTAAAAAGACGGAGAGATGGCTGGATGTCGGCAGAACAGGTGTTATTAGAGGAGGGGTGAAATGTGATTATGGCAAGGAGCCGGGACTGGGAGCGAGACGACAAGGCAATCATTTCACACGTGGTGTGTATATGTGCATGTAATATTTTTCCTTCTCTATGGTATAATCTATAATATGATATTGAAAAGGATGGTTTAACCTCCCAACTTGATGTTTCTTTTTATTTTATGGGGAGTGGTGTCTCAGTTCTGTTGGTTTAGTTTAGGTTTAGGATTAGGATTAGGATTGGGATTCTGCTTTTCTTCAAGGAAAATGGGTGTCTGTGTTTGCTCCAAGTTGCAGAGCGTGTGTTTTGGTGGGGAGTGAGATAGCTATTATATTAATAAAATCGAGTAGTTTAGCGGTGAAAGTGTGTAAAACTGGAGAGGGAGCAGATGGCGGATGGAACAGAGCGGGGAGGGAGGGGTTGTTTTCCTTTTTGGTGTGTTTTGTTATAAAGGAAGTTGGAGGTTGAAAAATACCAAACAGAGCTAAGTAAGTTATTTCAAATATGAATATGATAATTCTTAAACAAGGGGGGGTGGAAATTGAATGCGTAGTTACGTGATAAATCAAAACAAGGTCGTGGTCCATGCTTTGTCAGTCGCCTTTCTTCATTATTCAACTTTTTTTTTTCTTTTTTCTTTTTTCTTTTCTTTTTGGGAGGAGGATTAATTTGTAGTCCTGGTTGACTCAATTGTTTGGAATATATTTTTGTTCTAAAGTAGACAATGGTTGCTTTCCTTAACAACAGGGTGGACCTCCAGCTTTGACCTCGTCCATTTCACTTTCTTAATTTCCCCTTTTTCTCCTATCACACAACCACATACGTCGATCTTTCTACGGATTGGCGAGGCTTTCTTTGAAATCAATATCCCACTCTCCGTGTTTCAATTTTCAACCATCCAGCCCAACCCATTCTGAAATATTACCCTAAACCCTATCCCATGGGGCAGTAAGTCAACTGCCAAGCCGGTGGTATTGGAAGCAGCAGCAGCACCACCATTTTGAGATAGTTGGAGTTTAGGGTTATTCCTCCCATTTTTCATTTAGTTCAGTCTTTAAGTTTTAACGTTTTTTTTTCTTGGGGGGTGTAAAGAGAGGGAGATTTTAGAGGTGAGGTGGGGAAGGGAGTCCTGATTCATGTGTTGGTGTTGGTTGGTGTAGGCGGCTGTAGGGTACCAACCAAAGCCAAAGGCAGCGTGTTCCCTGCCCCTACCTCTGCCCATTCTGAAAGAAAAGAAAAGAAAAGAAAGGAAAAGAAAGAAATGGGCAATTGAAAAAAAAGGAAAAATATAAGAGCGAATTAAAAGTTCCGCAGTTGAGTAGGCTCCAAAAGGAAAACTAGGATGGGTGAGTGGGGAGAACGTGGTGGTGGTCTATTGGCTGGTGCTTAAAGAATCTTTTTATGGTATAAAGTTGGTAAACTGAATTGAATTGCGGATTTGAAGTCCGCGGATTTGGCCACGCACCAATCAATTGCTTTCCAGTTGGGCGTCTTACACTTGGTGGGGGACCCAACTGGAGCCTTTGGGTCTGCAGTGCCAGTGCTGCGAACCTTTTATTTAGGCTGACGCATAGAGGAGAGGGATAGGGCTTTGGGGTTTGGGCATCTGAAATATAATCTCTAATATAAAGCAAAAGAAAGCCAGGGGACTAGGAGAGGAGGGTTTGTGGATTTGTGACCAGTGAGTTGTTTGGGAGTCAAAGGAGAAGTGTTGAGGAGGGAGGAGGCAGAGGCCCCACCTAAGTGTTATCTTCGTGGTCCTTGGGAGCCTCATAGCTCAACACTAACTGGGTTCTAAAACTCCACTAACTAAGCTCTTATTTGTTATGCATATGTTTTTGTGTTACTACTCTTCTCTTTTGCATGAGCCATGGTGTTGGAGCTTTTACTATAAAATTAAGAAGCTTATAATTAGAATGAAGTCAGACTATAAACGATAGGAAGATGATATTTACTCATTCTTTTGAAAATAGGAAGATGAAATGGAGAAAAAGAAGAAGCATTGATGGTGAGGTGGATCCCACGGAAGGCATGATAAGGATGATGGTCATCCTCAATATAGGAGCAGTCCGTACGGTGCTTTGTTGTTTCAGCTCGTGACCCCTTCCTTTTCCTTCCCTACCCCAATTCCAAGACCAAGGGCCCCCCCTCTTCTTCTCTCCTGACTCCCATGCTTCTCCTTTTACAGCCACAGCCACAGCCACAGCCTCAGCCTCCCCTCTCTGTATTTGTTTAAACGCCTACGTCCTCTATCCTCCATTCCATTCAACTTAAACAGAATTAAATTGAAATGAGATAAGGTTGTATATTATGAATTAGCACTACGCAGATTTGGGGTGTAAAAGAGGGTATAACCTAGTATTTTAAAAGAGAGAAGAAGGAAAGAAGCGAGGGGGGGGACAAAGATTCCGAGTCTATTTTGTTGGTTTAGGGCATGCACAGCACAGCTGCTGTTACATTACCCTACACACTTGGGTCCCGCCCTCCAAATTGACACGTGACCCCTCCCTCCCTAAAAATATATTTCACTCTCTCTACTACAACAGTTTTAGGGTTGCAATTATTGATTATCATTTGGGAGTTTAATGATGAATTAGTCATCACAACACAAACCCTTTTCTATCTGCTTATTAATACCACGTTATGTTATATTTATATACAGATTTCATTTTTAATTCTAAACACGATGTTGTGAAGAGAGAGGCAGCCCCCATTCGTATTCCTTGTCTCTGTCCTAACAAAAAAGAAAAAGAGGAAAAAAAAAAGGGTTAAGTTAAGGAAGTAAGGTTAGCGTGAGAGAGAGAGAGAGAGAGTGGAAAGTGGAAGGTGGAAAGTGGAAAGTGGAAAGTGGAAAGTAGTTGAGGAGTGAGGGAGTGACACGTGTTGTTAAACATCCAATCCAAGGCTGCCCGTAGATACCAGGACAAAGCCTTTCCCGCGTTCCTATTCTGCTGTAATTACACTATTCTTCCCTCGCAACGCCGTTACCCTATCACACGCCGACACATATCCTAACGCCGTCTACCTTTCCTTCTTCAAATTATTGTCTTCCTTTCATTTCCAGAATATTCTCTCTCCTCCCTTCCTTCACCCATTTTCCATTTCTCTCTCCTCTTTCCTCTCTACCTCTCTACCTCTCTCCCATTTCTCCTTCTTCCCACCCCTAAACCAAAAAAGATCCCATCCCTCTACTGTTGCACACAGTTGTAGAAAGAGAACCCAAGCTCAGCTCAGCTCAGCCTCAGCCTCAGCCTCTTCAACCCAGATGCCGACCGACGTTTCCCCACCCACAACTTAGGGTTTCCCTTTAACTCTCCCTCTCCTCTCCTCTCCTCTCTCAATTCCTTTTCCCTTCCCCTTCCCCTTCCCCTCCATGGGGATTCTCTCCTCCTTCCTCCTTACCACCTAAGCCTTTGCCGTCTCCATCTTACCCAATTCCCTACCTACCTTCCAGATCTCTCCTCAGATTCCCTACAATGGCCTCCTCCGAGGTTTCCATCAACCCCAATTCCGCCTCCGTTCCCTTCAACGACCATGCCGATTCTACCAAACTCACCTCCGATCCACCTAACGCTCTCTCTGCCAGGGGTATTCCTCTTTCTTTCTTTCTTTCTTTCTTTCTCTCTCTATTTTGCTTACCCTCCTTCTCTTCTTTTCCCTACAGATGCTGATTTCGCCCTCTTCACCGAGCTTTGGAATGCTTGTGCTGGTCCTCTCGTTTCTGTTCCTCGCGAAAACGACCGCGTCTTCTACTTCCCTCAGGGCCACATCGAACAGGTCTTTCCTACCCTTCTTCCCTTCTATTCTAATTTTATCACAGCATAAGCCCTCTCTCTCTCTCTCTCTCTCTCTTTTTTTTTTTCTTTTCTGTTTCTTGTAATATCTAACACTCTGTCAGTTGCATATGTTCAATTAATTTCCTTTTCCTTCTATTTTCCCTACTGGAAAGCTTCTTTATGAAAAGCCTGAGCTCTATCTTCCCCTCAGATTGCTGTGGTTCATGGGATCCCCGCCTTGTTTGTTAAACCGTCTATCTTCCTTGTTTCTAATCTCGCTTTATATTCAATCTTACCGATGATCGATATTTGTTTGGTTCTTGGATCAGGTGGAAGCATCCACCAGTCAAGTGGCGGACCAACAGATGCCAGTTTATGACCTTCCATCCAAGATCCTCTGCCGCGTTATTAATGTGCATTTAAAGGTATCACTGGTCTAATTCTTGGGGGCTTTCCGTTTCTATATTTTTCTTCTCTTTTAACAAACAACTGTGAAGGTTGCAGGCTGGGAGACTTCTACCAGGTAGTTTTACTTTCTTATTGATGTGCGAAATCCTATGTCTGTGAATTGCAGGCCGAGCCAGACACCGATGAGGTATTTGCACAAATAACTTTGGTTCCAGAGGCAAATGTAAATGCCCTTCTTTGTATTGTTGTTTACAATGTTAAATTGTGCTGAAAGCTTCTCATATATTTAATGATCCTGATGATCTGATGTGTTTGTTCATTACAGCAAGATGAGCATGCTGTGGACAAGGAACCCCCGCCTCCTCCACCCCGGAGATTTCACGTGCATTCTTTTTGCAAGACTCTGACTGCCTCTGACACCAGTACTCATGGGGGGTTTTCAGTCTTGAGACGCCATGCTGATGAATGTCTTCCACCACTGGTTGGTACATCTGTATTTCCTGGTTTTTGTATCACAATATTTCTTTATTTGCTACCATTACTGAATGCCATGGAGTTGATTTTGCTAGGACATGTCACGACAGCCTCCTACACAGGAGTTGGTTGCCAAGGATTTGCATGGAAATGAATGGCGTTTTCGTCATATATTTCGAGGTAGTGATTTATTGAATTTGAATTACTATTTGTTGTTCCCTGATCTCAACTGACGCCGTGTGTTATAATATAGTCGTTTTCATCAATAAAACAGACTCACATGCATGATGTCTTGCTCTAATATATAACACGCCTGTCCAGCTTCTTGTGCTGCCAACCTGGGAACAGTATCCCAAATCTAAAGCTTTCATGCCACATGTATTGGTTACATGACTGGGAATTTTGTTTTGGCGATAACCATGTAAAGTTGATTTACTTGATTTGATTCAGTTTTTTGCCCCTAACATTTAAGCTTTTGGAATATCAGGACAACCACGAAGGCATTTGCTTCAGAGTGGTTGGAGTGTTTTCGTGAGCTCAAAAAGACTGGTTGCAGGAGATGCTTTTATATTCTTGAGGTTTGATGTTTCCTTTGATATCTATCGCGACTCATTAGACATCAATATATCATGATTACAGACTTTCTGAACGTGTCATTTATTTCATTTGGTTATCTTTTGGTCTAATTGGAACCAATGTATATTTGCTTTAGGGGTGAGAATGGAGAACTGCGTGTTGGTGTTAGGCGTGCCATGAGACAACATGGTAACGTCCCTTCATCGGTCATATCTAGCCATAGCATGCATCTTGGTGTGCTTGCAACTGCATGGCATGCTATTTCTACAGGCACAATGTTCACTGTCTACTACAAGCCTAGGTAATGCTTATGATATGACGTTCCTGTATTATATATGTTGGGTAATTACATCTTGTAAAGCAAAATCCTAATTGCTCCAAATGTGTGTTCAGGACTAGCCCTTCTGAATTCATTGTTCCATATGACCAGTATATGGAGTCTATTAAGAAGAGCTACACCATAGGAATGAGGTTCAAAATGAGATTTGAAGGTGAAGAGGCTCCTGAGCAGAGGTAAGTGCCCATGAAATTGGGTATTGGTTGACGCTTACCTTCTAAATATCTAATAGTGTTTACTTTTCTTTCTTCCCGGTTCTTTCTTTCATAAAGAAGTTTATCTGTGGGAACTTATCTGGATGATTCTAATTCTCTTGTTCTAGATTCACTGGTACTATCATTGGATGTGAAGATGCTGATCCCAAAAGGTGGAAAGATTCCAAGTGGAGATGTCTGAAGGTAGTATGAAGTTCTTAATTCTTGTTTAACCTTTTTTTTTTTTTTTTTTTTTTGAATGTTAAAGCAGCCGTTTCTACTTTCC